CATGAAAAACATAAGCCAATGACCATCATCTCGTCATCTATGCCATAAGTGCAAATGGGATTTATTTTAATGGGGCATGGATAGCTACTATGTTGAGATTGAAATGATGCAATATGGTTGATCTCACTCATAGCATATGACAAGTTCAATGGATTGTCAAACATGATGTGACCAATAGAATTTTCACATGATATCCTATGAAGCATAGCATCACAACTAGGCAACTCAACATGCTCATCATCATATTCATCGTAAATAGGTAAGTTAAGGCATGAAGAAGTGTCACTAGCATGAAGCATGGTAATAGGTGGGTCAACATCATGGGAGCAATCATTATCAAGAGAGTCCACTAGTGGGACAAGAGAAGCACCATCACCTATGTTACCTTTGGAGCGTCGCTCATGTGTTGTAGGTGAGGTGTTGAAGATCGTCTCGTTGTCATCTTCATCTTGATGGAACCATGTGGGGGTGCATCATGTTCCACCATGGCCATCGTCGTGTCCAAAGAGAGGACGTAGTCGTCGCGAATCGGCGCGTCATCATATATGGGGCTAGTGGTGAAGTCACTCTCACTCTCAATATGGTGGCAAAAGTCTCCATGCGCGGTCTCGTAGCTTGACTCGGAGGATGAGTCCAATATGGGCACCATCTTCATGTTGTTGAAGAGGTTCGCGCTTGTCGCCGTAGTCGAAGGGGATGGCCCTTGCTCGACCGTCTTGTCGCCGTCTTGGTGTTGGAGGTCCCTATGATGTGGCACCTCGTAGCTCGTCTCCATGACCGAAGGGAATGTCCCATGCTCGGCCATCTTCCTTGAGGGGCTTCCGAAGATGGAAGTGTCGCCCTCGCTCGTAGGTGGTCGCCTTGGACTTGATGAAGTCGTTGTAGGCGTACTCGTGGGAAGTAGGCGAAGATGTCGTACGTCCAAAGGCGAAGATGCCTCGATAGCACTTGGCGAAGATGCCAAAGTGGTTGGTGTAGCCGTAGCGCCGTCTTGGTGGTGCTCGTCTCGCGGTCTTCTCTTGTGCTTATGAAGCTTCGACTTGGCGTGAAGTAGGGCTTGTTGGGACTTGTGCACTTGCGCTTGTGGAGCATCTTCATGATGATGATGTCGTTGTCGTGCTTGAGCTCGTAGGAGATGTCGTTCGTCGTCGTCGTGCACATGATGGTTGGATGTGACTTGCCCTTCATGACGATGTTGATCACGAACGAGATGGTGGTTGCCATGTAGATGTGGACGAGGACGATTTGCACTTGCGTCGTGGCCGCGCTCCGAAGACTTGTGGCTTGAATGTTGCCACCTTGAAGATGGCGAAGGGGAAGAAGACTTGATCAAGGTTCTAATCTCCTCCATCCTTGCATCTTGCTCCTCCTTTTGTGCGGCAAGCTTCTTGTCGATGTAGTCCCTTTTCCTTGCTTCGGAGAGATGAATGTCGATGGAGAGGTTCTCGATGCGCTCTCGCAATCTTGATTGTGCGCCTTGCATTTGTCGTTGTAGATCAAAGATGGACGCTTTTGTGATGTAGTTGTTCACACCGTCGTTGTTGTCGTAGACCGGAGAGGAAATGCCTTGCCTATCCATCACAAGACTCGAGCAAATGTGAGTAGGAAATGAGATAAACAATACCAAGTTACCTTTTCCCAAAGTTAAGGATGTATCTTGTATCACTCAATGTGAAATGAAAGAATAGTGGAATTGGTACCGGACTTGTTCACTCACACCTACAAAGTAAAGCTTATGGTAGAGCTCGGTGAGGATAGTGGCACAAAAATTTGATGCAAAATGTTAGCAAGAGTCAATAATGTTGGAAAAGATTCACAAATTCACAAGTGAAACAAGTAGACCAATAGCAAATGGTACACGGAAACACACACACACGGATAGATAAATGGGGTCGTGCAACCAAGGAATGAGCACAAAATGTGGAGTCCACGGAAAACGCTCGTGTTGCACAACTCAAGAGAGACGCTAGCACGATTGCTCAATCGGCGGATACGACACTTGTGCACAACCTATAAGATGCAAAATGGATAAACTTCTATCCCAAGTATGCTATGTATGTATGGTTCCCGGTGTTTCTCTCAAGATGATCCAAGATGATCGGATATGACAATCTTATGTGCAATGGGGTATGATGCTATGGCACTTGCTCACGAGCTCTTTGCTCTCTTTTTGCTTAAAAGCTTTTTCTCTTTTTTTTTTCAACGGTCACTTTTGCACAATGCACAAACCAAGATAGCTATTGTGTATATGCGGGAACGATATTGTGACACAATGGATGATATGATACCAATATGATATGGTATGTATGCAATGGAAGGTATGGACCACTAATGTGCACAAGTAACGTTGCCGGCAATACTCAAATGGCTAGTCTCGATAGGTAAGTGACGCAAAATGGGCTAGGGGTTAACAATGCAATTGCAAGGGGAATATACAATGGTGTCGTCGAGGTTACCGTCCTTCGCGATGATGAGTAGCGGTGTTCTTGATGTAGATACCAAGATGATGTAGACCCGTCCCTAAGTAGCCGAAACACCTTAGGAAACGGTAAAAACCAGCAAACTCAAAATCTCAAGAACAAAAGTCAAATGGTGATGGAACCTATCTAGGTGGATGGGGGATGTCAATAACTACTCAACGAGCTAAAGAACGCGAAAATCGGACTCCGGATGTGGAAGTTATGGGCGAAATGGTGAACTGCTCGTGGCTGGCCTGGGGGGCCGTGCGCACGGGGTCTAGGGCCCGTGGGCACGGGGTCCCGTGCGCATGGTACACGTACCGAGGGCACGGGGTCACCTGGGACACGCGAGTTTGGCGGATTTCTGCCAGATCTGGGCGGCTCAATGATGGATCTCGTGGCTGGGGAGTAGCTGGGGTGGAAGGGGGTGGTATGGGGTGGTGGGGAGGTCGAAGGAACAGCGGCCGAAGCGCACTGGAAGGGCCGTGCGCACGGGGTCTGGCTGGCCCGTGTGCACGGGGTCCCGATGGCCCGTGTGCACGGGGTCCTCGAGGAGCGGATGAACAGCTCCGGATCCGTGCGGAAACTCGATTTTGAGGTCAAATTCGAGGGATGGAAGGTAAGGGAAGGTGGTAGAGGGGTGGATCTACTTGCAAAACACCGAATCCATGGACCAAATCCAACAAAATCTCATCAAATCAACAAATCACAGAAAAAATTTGGGGCTATTTTTGGTGGGGAATTTTTGGATTTAGGACGAAATCAAACAAAATTAGGCTAGAAAACAAAGAGGGGGGCTCCAATTTCGTGAGGAACCTTGGCTCATGATACCATATGATGTAGGGTGGAGCCCTATAGAGAAAATCTTTCACGAATTGGAGGTGGAATCCCCAAGAACAAGATGAACAAAGGAGGGAAAACAAGAGGAGCACTCAAGAACAAGTCAAATCACACATCCACTAGACAATCAAACACATAAGATCCACAAGGTACATGAACAACAAAGGGAAATAAGATACATGGTAGAGTTCATCCCAAATCCTATGAAGGAGATGAGGGCTTGATGATCTAGATAGATCCTTCCCACAAGGGGGTCTTGAGCTAGGTCACTCCAAGAGGAGGTCTTGATCTCCTAGTGGAGTGGATCCATGGAGCAAAGCTCTCATATGTCTAACATATCCTTTGCTTCCCCTAACAAATGGTCTAGGTACGGAATATATAGTCTTGGGGTCGAAGTGGGTGAAGAGGGGCTCGGATTGGGGATCACAGCCGCCCATCCTGATGAGCCCGTGCGCACGGGGTAAGTTGGGCCCGTGCGCACGGGGGTCTCGTGGGCACGGTACAGGCCCGTGCGCACGGGGTGCTCCAGCGTCAGCTCCCTGAGTAGTCCGTGCGCACGGGGTCTCGGGGGCTCGTGCGCACGGGGTCGCCTGGGTCCTCCTGTCCAGCTCCTGTTGTGCTCCATCTTCTTCCTCATGGCCTTGTGGTTCTTCTCTAACTCCTTTGGGGTGTCCCTCACCAGCTTGTGGGCGTCGGTCTTCGTACCTAAGGACACATTGAGCACTTTGGTGAGGTAGCAAGCAAGTCCAATGGATATTCATGATGTTCTCGAAGAAGAGCGGGTTCACCTTAGTTCCGGTAGGTCCACTTGGGGCTTGATGTGCTATGAAGGTGTACATGGAGATGAACGTGGGATGCTCCGTATCAGTGTTGGCCGACTAAAAGACAACATGTTCAACAGTTAGGTGTGATGGAGATGCGTATGTTGAGATGGATGTGTGGTCATACGAGGAAGGTTCGAGTTCGGAATGATGATATACGAGATAGAGTTAGGGTAGCACCAATTGAAGAGAATTTTGTCCAACATCGCCTGAGATGGGTTGGGCATATCCAGCGCAGGCCTCCAGAAGCCCCAGTGCATAGCAGACGGCTAAAGCGTGCGGAGAATGTCAAGAGAGGTCGGGGTAGACCGAATTTTGACATGGAAGGAGTCCGTTAAGAGAGACATGAAGGATTGGAGTATCAGCAAAGAACTAGTTATGGACACGGGTGCGTGGAAGCTTGCTATCCATCTGCCGGAGCCATGAGTTAGTCATGAGATTTTATGTGTTTCACCTCTAGCCTACCCCAATTTGTTCGGGACTAAAGGCTTTGTTGTTGTTGTTGTTGTTGTTCCCAAGTTCTTGAATTACGAAAACATTAATGTGCTTTGAAAACATTGCCATGATTTTAATAAATGTTCACGCATTTTGAAGAACGTTCCTCTATTTCAAAAGATGTTCACGAATTTAAATTTTTCCATGATTTGAAGAAATGTCTTGGAATCTCAAAAAATGTCCCACAAATTGAATTAAATTGTGACGAATTAGAAAGTGTTCGTGATATGAAAAAAATGGTATTCCTCGGCGGAGAACTGGGCCAAATCGTTTGGGCCTCAACAGGCCAGCAGACCGGCCCAGCAGAGCCGCTGTGGCTAACTTTACTTGACCCCGGAGGCCTCTGGCCCTTCCCCCTCCCCTCCCCTCCCCATCGCCGACCGCCATGGCCGCCGACCCTAGCTCCGACCTCGCCAACGGGGCCCCGGCCCCCGCCCCCGCCGCGGGCGCCGCCGACAAGAAGAAGTCGCGCGAGAGCGAGCGCCGCCGCCGCCGCCGGAAGCAGAAGAAGAGCAAGGCGCCCGCTTCCGACGCCGCCGCCTCCGACGCCGACGCGGCCGCAGATGCCGAGGAGGACAAGCCCGACTCCAAGCCCCCGGTACGTGGACGGGTTTCCTCGGTTGGGGCTCGCGACGGTCTCTCTGACGCTGACGCTGGGTTGGTTTGGCTGTGCGCGCAGGTGGAGATCGAGGTGGAGTACGTGCCGGAGGAGCCGGACCTCGCCGACGGCCTCCTCGCCGACTTCAAGAGCATCTTCGACAAGTTCACCTTCAAGGAGCCCGTCGCCGCCGAGGTACCGGAGCCCGTCGATTACCAAGCAAAACCCTAGGAATCTTTCTAGTTCTAGCTGCCCCGCAGTGGAGCTTATTGTGCTATCTGCAATCTGCACTAGTCTTAATGAGTTGGTGGTTTGTGCTGGCAGGACGGGGAGAAGAAGGACGAGGCGGCCGACGCGGCGAAGAAGGGGTCAGGGTCTGACTCGGACGACGACGAGCAGGAGACCCAGCAGAAGAAGAAGGAAGGGGGCATCTCCAACAAGAAGAAAAAGGTTTGCGTTTCTCTCTCTTACTGTCTGCCTCATTGTTGAATTACCTGTTTTTTTATGCGCGATTGTTGTGGTTTTGTAGAAGGCGCTAAGCATGAATTCTGCTGTTTTGGTTTGTGCTTTGTAGCTTGAACAAAGGATGAAGATCGCGGAGCTGAAGCAGATATGCAACAGGCCCGACGTCGTGGAAGTAAGCCACCCCCCTCCTTTTCTTTTGCTGTGAACCAGGTGTGCTGGCAATGTGATGTGCCTGTGTTACTTTGAACGGATGTGTTGATGCAGCATCCTATCCTACCGCACCTGTCCGTCTAGTGTTTGCATCGCCAAAGGTTGCCAATGCTAGTGTGATCTGACCACCACCAATGGTCTCTAGTTGATATAACTCAAATTGCACCCGGGGATTTGTTTAAAGTCATGTATTATTGTCGTCTGGTCATGCAGCAGCTATTGGCTGCAGGCTTTGTAATAACACACTTCACCTCTAATGCTAGAAAACTGTGCTAGCAACTTTTACCATCACTTATTGTTGATATAACTAAAATTGCATTGGAGAATTTGTTTTAAGTCATGTACTATTGTGGTCTGGTCATGCAGTTTCCATTGGCCGTGCAGTTTGTAACAACGCACTTTGTTAGTGAGGATATGTTTGGTATTATGTAAGCTTTCTGATTTATCTGAGTAAATAATCTGTAGTAAGGTTCACGGCAAGTTAGATTATCTTAGGCTGGGTTGCTAGAAAAATGTGCCAGCAACTTTCACGTTTCACCTTTCACAGTTCTAAGGTTAAGATATACTCCCGTCCCATAATTTAAGACGTTTTTTGACACTTGCATTATGGGACGGAGGGAGTAGTATTTCTCTTGTTAAAGGCCATGACAGCATGCACACACGCGTACCCATGTAGCTTGTATCGGTGGTGTGAACATAAGATGAGATAATGTCACTAAACTATTTGTTGTGTGCAATCTTCTTTAACTCATTGCCATTAGCAGAGTAAAATTGTTTATGGATTAGCTTCAACTGATGAAATTATGCTCCTCCTGCCAGGTTTGGGATGCGACTGCATCAGACCCCAAGTTACTTGTCTATCTGAAGTCTTACAGGAACACAGTACCTGTCCCAAGGCACTGGTCTCAAAAGAGGAAATTCTTGCAGGTTTGTAATACATGTACCATGAGTCATGAGCAATCTTGTTCTGCATAATTTCGTAATGAGTACTTGGATGCTCCTCTGAGAAATCAACCACACAATCATAATTTATTGTTGTTAGTAGTGGAGTGGTAGGCAGATGCAAACAGACCATCAGTTTTCTTCGAATAAAAGTGTTGGAGCATCTCCCTCAATTAATATCTGTCATTGAACAAACACTGCATGCTTTCATGTATTGTTACAGAAGTTTATTTTTCTCCAAGCCAACATAAGGGCCAAGGGACAGACTAATATGCCAGGCCCGAATTCACTCAATGTCGAGCACACTTGGGTTTTATCCTTGTATCATCGAAAAGTGTAAGCCCATAACTGCAACTGTTCGGGCCAGCACGGATATGCTAGTGTAACTCATTACAAAGTGCCATGCAGTACCATGGGGTGGGTCTTATTAGGAGAGGGGAGGGAACATAAAGTCGTTAAGGTTTTTCCCCTCCCTCTTATACAGATATATAATTCTTGCAGGGATGCTGCAACTTCCTGGGAGCAAGGTCTTGGTGGTACCGAACTTGAGTGACTACTGTAGTTAATGCCAAAGTTGTTTGATCTAGTTGATTCATGCTAGACATCTCCTTGAAGGAGATTTTTGGTCTATCTAGGATCTTGACCTTTGGTTTTTCTTTGTTTGCGTATGCAAGTATATCATTTGCCCAAGCCTTTGCAATTTTTTTATAACCTCCAAAACATGAAATTATGCTTTGCTTCATATTATCTATATCTTGTTGAATAAATTTGACATCACCATGCTGTTTCTTTCAGGGCAAGAGAGGTATTGAAAAACAACCATTCCAACTTCCTGACTTCATTGCTGCAACTGGAATAGAAAAAATTAGACAGGTATGTTAATATCTTGGTCCTTGGTAGCAATGCTATGGACATTGTATCTCCCTTGTCAACTTGGTAACTTCAGGAGTTTTGTTTTATTGTCACTTCTAATTTTTATTCCACAAATGGGCAAGATGGAAAAAATTTAAGTACCTTTCCAAATGCATTTTCAGGCATATATCGAGAAAGAGGATAGCAAAAAGTTGAAGCAGAAGCAGCGGGAGCGTATGCAGCCAAAAATGGGCAAGATGGATATAGATTATCAGGTCAGTTAATTCCTCTTGAGGCCAATCTGAGTTGCACATAGAAGCACATGCCTATATTTGTATGTTCTCCATAATGTGCAAGATGGATACAGAGCACTATTTATTTGCCCCCTGATTATAGTTGCACATACAAGCACATGCCTGCGTTTTCTCCTTGTGCTATACTTCTCTACATGCATATATGTTTGACAGGTGTTTAATTACCTGCCACTTAGGCACTAATACTGATAATGTACACGTGAAAATATCATAGCTGATAAGTACAATGTGTTTCTTCCATATGTTCAAATTTTAGACATGAGTTAACTTCTGAATGTGCAGGAAAGAAAGTCTCACCGTAATTTTGTTGTGTGCAGGTTTTACACGACGCCTTCTTCAAATATCAAACAAAACCAAAATTGACTAGTCATGGTGACCTTTACTACGAAGGAAAAGAGTTTGAGGTACTTTTTTTTGCTTCGCTCTCTTCTTAATGTCAGAAACAGAGATAATTGATATTTGTTTGGGAGATCCATATGTCTGTGTTCTCAAACCTGTCTTACGGAGCATAATACATGTATGAACTCAACAGGTCAAACTCAGGGAAATGAAGCCAGGTATGCTGTCCCGAGAACTTAAAGAAGCTCTTGGTATGCCAGAAGGTGCACCGCCTCCATGGCTTATAAACATGCAGGTATTGTTCTTTTTTAGAAGAAACAAACTCCAGGCAGCTGGTCTTCTGGTTGACTGGTATCTTGTTATTGGCCAGCTATATCAACTGACATCAAATAATTTTGGCAGAGATATGGTCCTCCGCCCTCTTATCCTTCACTGAAGATTCCTGGTCTGAATGCCCCAATTCCTCCTGGTGCTACTTTTGGTTACCGGCCCGGGGAATGGGGAAAGCCTCCTGTGGATGAGGTAATTTACAACAAATGTGCTTTTCATGGGCTCGGCTGTAGTTAAATGCGGCTTCTGTAATGAAAATAAATTTCTTTTCTGATCTATTTATTTGTTTTGGCTAACAGCATGGACGCCCCCTGTACGGAGATGTTTTTGGTATCCTACAGCTGGATGAACCTAATTATGATGTATGTTTGATCGGCTAATTTTCCTTGAAATTGAACTGCAGCTCTTACTAGTTAACTGACTTGTGTTGCATTGTATTCCAGGAGGAGCCTGTTGACCGCAGCAAGCATTGGGGAGACTTGGAGGAGGAAGAGGAGGAGGAGGAAGATGATGAGGAGGAAGAGGAGGAGGAACTAATGGAAGATGAAGACATGGAATCTGGCATGCAGTCTGTCGACACCATGTCAAGGTTATTTCTAGAATAATTATTTGATGACTAGCTTAGGTTCTTCCCTAAGGGAACTATGTTTTGACGCCTCTTGTTCTGTTAATAGCACTCCCACTGGCGTGGAAACACCTGACGTCATTGATCTTCGGAAGCAACAGAGGAAAGAGTCTGAAAGGCCAACAGATAAGCAGTTATACCAGGTAAGGGGCTTAGCTTCAGTTTGTGGCATTTCAGCCCAAGTATGTTGTGGAGCTGCTTTAGTTTGGCTTATAATTGCGGTTCATAACCAACAATTTGTTCTTTTTCATCTGAAGGTTCTTGAGCAGAAGGAGGAGAAAATCGCACCTGGAACCCTCTACGGGTCAAGCCATACGTATGCAACTCTAATACAACCTAGTCATCTCTACAATATTTCTTCCAATGGATATCTGTTTTTGAGCCATACAGAGAACTCATTTTGTATCAATAATTTCTGATAGATTCCTGTTTCAATCATGTTGAGAACTCATTTTGTATCTTGCTGTTTTTGCAGGTATGTGGTTGGGGCACAGGATAAGGCTGGGGTTAAAAGGGTGAGCTTTTACATTCCTTGCCCCAAGTATACAAGCATTCCCATACCGTGCATGTTCTGATGATTCATTGACACATCTTTGTGATCCTCGTTTGCAGGTTGATCTTCTCAAGAATCAAAAGTCCGACAAAGTGGACGTCACCATACATCCCGAGGAGCTCGAGGTTATGGACGATGTCCTGGCAGCCAAGTAAGATCACCTCTCCCCCGCGCCTGCCAAGCTTTGCCTGTCATCAGTAGCCACGAGTTGAAACGTTAACGCCATCCCTTCAATAAAATGATGAAACAGGTATGAAGAAGCCCGGGAGGAGGAGAAGCTCCGGAACCAGAAGGAAGACTTCAGCGACATGGTGGCGGAGGTATGTTTTCACGAGCAGTCTTCTTCTGTGTATCTGTTGAGCCAGAAACAAGTACCAGCTTCCATCGAGCTGAATCTTCTCCCCCTCTCTGATCTGCAGAACGCGAGCAAGAGGAAGAGGAAGCACGAGAAGGACGGGAAATCTTCCAAAAAGAAGGACTTCAAGTTCTAGACGGGGCGCCGTTTTGCTACCGTTCCTCTTCCGCTTCCCAGGAGGGGAGGATGTTTCCATTTCTTCCTGTAGCATGTACTCTACTCTAAATCAAGCTGTGTATGTATACTTGGCCTCTGGCAAATGTTGAAGTGCTGGACGAGAAGGCCGGATGAAAAAAGAAATGAAGCTGTAGTCCATGCATGAGAGCAAGTTATGATGTTAAATGTAACTGCTAGCATTAGTTTGTTGCTGTTATGAAGAGTGATATGCTAAGTTTGCTATGGTTGACATACGTGGTGAATTTTCTGCTTTGTACTAACTATACTCATCTTAGAAGAGAGCTTTGAGTGCTCTGCTGGGGAACAGATGCTTTAGGGAATATTTTTTCTGGACAAATCAGGGTCTTGCTGGGGAACAATAATTTTTCATAGGCTCTGTTAGTAATTTCATCCATCCCCAACCACCTCCAATCATCTCTTGCTTTCTTACAGAGAAATAACATGTGTTTTGTATCCTCTGGACTCGGAAGAACAGGACGGACATTAGGGTGAGACTTCCATGTGTCTATTGGCAAGCGTAACACGACACGGAAGAGTACCATGCAATGTACGCCAGATAAAAATATTTACCATTTGCCGGGCACGTATGCTTCCTAATCTTAAACCAAAATAGGACTAACAGTGGTTTATTATCCATTCCATTAGGACGTCTCAGTTTCATTTCATGTTGGTGATCCCATTCCACAAAGTAGGTTGATCGAACCGAAAACAATCTGTTTTTCGTATAACTTCGGACGTCTCAGTTTCATTTCATGTTGGTGATCCCATTCCACAAAGTAGGTTGATCGAACCGAAAACAATCTGTTTTTCGTATAACTCCAAACGACAAAATCATGCATGTCATATTGAGGGTGAGGGATAGCTAGGGCATGTTGTGCATCAATAGGCCACAAAGTTTGTCTAACCAGATCTTCATCGCAGTTATTAGATACCGGAACGATAAAGTCCGCCATCCGAGATAACAAGTGACCCCCTTTAGGAGTGATAATTTTTCTATTAGCACATCTGGAATTCACCCTTTCTCTCAAATATCAATATTCTGACAGTTTCAACTCACCATATATACCCACTGACGGAGCTAAATCATGCAGATCTTGGGTAGGGGATCCCGAATTAAGGGTCATGAGATTATGGTCACAAGGACACGAATTTTTGCCCGGGTTTTGGCTCTCCGGAGAGATAGAACCCTACGTTCTACTTGTGTTTTATTGCTTTTGGAGGGAGTACACAGTACAATTGATCTATACCCTGATCATTGTGTGTCGTCTACATGTCCTAACCCTCGATTTATATAGATACCGGAGGTTCTAAGGTTAGATCCTCGTCGATTATGTACAAAGAAAACATGTTGTGGATGAATTCTAATATCTTGGAGTATATCTCTTCGGGTATATTCCTTTCATACGCCATGGCCCCTCTTGATATGGCCCACTAGTGAATCGACATGGGAGTCCTTGACCCGGCTCACCAGGATGGCAGACGACGTGATGAGAAACCCCCCAGTCCCGCCATAATACATTGCCAAGTAAATGAGAATCCCTTTTTAACTTTGTGTTCATTAAATCACCATAGGAAAGTACTTACTCTCAAAATAGTAGCACATAAACAGTCGGGATTCTCAAAAAGGCGTCAATCCTATTTTGCCAACATCTCTAGATTGAAACAATGCATATATCTCAAAATCCCATCCCTACTTGATTCTCCAGGGCACACATTTTTAACCTTGCCATCCAATGCATCCTCCTCTGGTTATCCTCGTCTCCCACAAAAAATGTGACATCGCATCAATAATTCCTTTACAATGGTTTTTAGGAATTTTAAAGAAGAAAATTGATTATGTGGCAATGGCTTGAACAATAGACTTGAGAAGAATCTCCTTTCCTCTAACGGATAATAGATTTCCCTTCCAACCACTGATTTTCTTGATAATACGATCAATCAGATACTGAAAAAAAATTAGTTTTATCCAACCTCACATTGACAAGCAAAACTAAAAAAATTCTCATTTAGGGCCCCATCATTGATATTATGAATTAGACACATTTGTCATGTGACCTCGACACTCTTATTGGGACTGAAAAATATGTTGGACTCATCAATAATAAGCAATTGCCATGAAGCGACACAATACATATCTAGAATTGACGTCAGCGTCTCAACATTGAGCATATTAGGCTTTGAAAGTGCGTTATATCGATTAGAGGGGGGGTGAATGGGCGGTTTTTATGAATTCTTCACGGAGGAATTTGCTGGTAAGGAAATTCCTAGGCGAAGAACTACTTGCAGCGGAATAAGTACTTAGAAGTAAACATAACAGAACACAAGCATAGTCATCATGATGAAATGAAGACAAGCACAGAGTACAGGAAGCGTATACACAGGATAACACAGGATGAAGACTGACATACTGAAGAAATTGAACTGAGGAAATTGAGAAAGTCTTCAGCCAAAGTCATCAAACAGATATGAACAAGCACACAACAAGTGAAATGAGGAAATGAAAGAGTTGAGGAAATAGAACCAGTAAGCTTGGTGAAAACAATGATTTGGTAGACCAGTTACAACTGCTGTCTCAGTTGTACATCTGGTTGGAGCGGCTAGGTATTTAAACCAAAGGACACACAATCCTCACCGTATTATCCTTGAGCTAAAGTCACACAGACCTCGCCCAATCACTCGTGGTAAGTCTTCAGGTGACTTCCGAACCTTCACAAACTTGGTCACACGGCGATCCACAATTCCTCTTGGATGCTCTAGACCTTGACGCCTAACCGTCTGGAAGAAGCACAATCTTCAAAGGAAACAAGCGTCGGATCCACGCTGGATCAATCTCTTCAGTGATGCTCAATCACTTTGGGTTTGAAGGTGTTTGGGTTTGTGTTTTCCTCACTTGATGATTTTCGCTCAAAGTCCTCGGAGGATGGGATGCTCTCAAATGACAAGTGTCAGTTTCTCTCGGAGCAGCCAACAAGCTAGTGGTTGGAGGGGGCGGCTATTTATAGCCTAGGGAGCAGCCCGACATGATAAGACATAAATGCCCTTCAATAATATGACCGTTAGGTGGGTAGATGTTTTGGGACAGCTGGCGCGTAGCACAACAACGGTCGGAATTTTGACTCTCAAATTCCTCAGGGCTATCATGTTCCTCACTGTGTAGGCAATCCGCATTGGCGAATTCCTAACTCCTCAGTCAGAACAAATTTCTCAGAGACCAGAAGTACTTCGTCTCCGTCACTGAAGAATATGACTAAACTGTATGAGATTTCCAATGGCTTCACTCGAAGGGATTGGTAGGTGTAGGATTTTGTGTTGAGCATCACATGGAAATTTTTCCTTAGTATTTTCTTGACCCTCTTTAACAGTATGGTGTTTCCTATGACTCAAGAAAGAGAAAATGAAGCTACGAAAATAAAAGTCTTCACGCGTCATGTTCCTCGAATGAATTCCAAGTCTTCAAGGTCACACCAATTTCTTCACTTTCAAAGTCTTCAGAAAGTCTTCAAAAATCCAAAGTCTTCAGTCGAAGAACTTCATTTTTAGGGGTCGACTTTCTCTGTAAATATCAAACTCCTCATAGACTTATAGACCTGTGTACACTCACAAACGCATCAGTCTCTTAATCTATAAGTCTTCAATACACCAAAATCACTAAGGGGCACTAGATGCACTTACAATCTCCCCCTTTTTGGTGATTGATGACAATATTGGTTAAGTTTTCAACGGGGATAACATATGAAGTGTAAATACTGATATTGAGGAATTTGATTGCAAGATATAGAAGAACTCCCCCTGAAGATGTGCATAGTGAGGAATTTTCTTTTGAACCAATGCACATTTGAATAGTATAATCATAGAGATCTCCCCCTATATCTTGTAATTCATACACGCATTTGACATATAATATGAAGAATTTGAAATGCATGATGAAATATGGTGACTGATGTAATTTAGCATGCGTGCATTGACATTAATGAGGAATAAGCATGCAGAAGAACACAGTAAAAGTATCAGGCCACCATAGAGTTTAAGATTCCAACTCGATCCAGCAAACTCATCAGAAGAACGAGAGTTGTAACTTAGCAAAATACGCCCATATAAGATAGACCCGCTTGAAGACTAACTCAAATTTCTCCCTCTTTGTCATCGAATGACCAAAAGGGTTGAAAAATGAGGACTAATGCCCCTGAAGAATATCATGATGATGGAGGAGCGCCAGCGTTGTTGGGGTCTTGTGTCGTTGTAGGGCCTGCCGCAGTGTCGTCCAAGTCTTCATACTCGTCCGTGTCGCGTGATGAAGAATATGAACTGGCGACCAAGGGAGGGACCTTGACCCTCTTGTATTTCTTCGGTGGAGGAGCAGACCAGTTAAAATCATCCTTGAAGCCCAGGTGCGATCGAAGACTTCATGGAGGTAGTAATGGTTTTTCTTCACTGCATTATGTGTAGAAGTCATGTTGTGAAGAATAGAACCAAACTGACGCTTAACCCATTTGTGGTTTCGATCCACCTTCTGGTGAAGACTAAGAAGCAATTCTCGGTCAGTCATCACACGAGGAGCAGTGGCTTGAGGAGTTGACTTGGGAGCATTGGCAGCAAAATCGTGAGTGTCAGAGTCATCATTGGTGGAGTAAGATGCAGCTTTGCGAAACTGACCATCCAATGGACGAATGCCTTCATCAACAATAGCAGTGGCCCTGCTCTTTTCATCAGCTGAGGAAAATGTCCGCTTGAGAACTTTAATAGGGGGCAAGTAGCTGCCATGGTTGAGAGTGTCAGCCTTGTAGTTGAGTGAAGACCTTGTTCTAATGAATCTCATAATCCAAGGAGCATAAGGCTTCAGCTCAAATGGAGATTGTGCAACATTTTCCAGAGCCCTCATGAAGAAATCATGATAATTGACAGGAATGCCATGCATGATGTTAAATAGCAGATTCTTCATGATGCCAACATGTCCTCATAAGATGAGTCGTGGCCTTTGATAGGACTCAAAGTCTTCGTCAGAATGCGATAGACTGTTCTTGGCACATACAACAAATCCTTCACGAGGA